AGCTAATTGCAAAAATCCAAAAGCCACTTTCAAGCCAGGAAGCTGTTTGGATGAGCGAAACTGCAAGGGAAAAGTGTGCACTCGTCAATATGACCCAGTCTGTGGCGAAGATGGAAAAAATTACGACAACGCTTGCACCTTCAATGCAGCTAACTGTGGCAAAGAAGGCAAAACCTTCACCAAAGGAGAATGTCCCTCGAAGAAAATTCAATACTAAGCAGATTGACATCGCAGAGCTATAGGAAACATTCAAATTATTTTACCAATCAGATAACGAATCATTTATAACGATTTCATAAATTTTGTAATAATTCAAAGGAAAATAAATTGGCAAAACTGAAAAGCAATGGTTTTTTGGGCATTTTCTGTTTTTTTGTATATAATGTTCGGCGGCGTGCAAAGTAATTCTGTCACCTGAGGCAAATTTTCAAAATGTCGCCCCTAAATTTTCAAGCAAAAGTACTTACTCGCTATAAATTGATTCGGCTGTATTTGTTTCGATTGATTCGGTATTTTTTTCTGTGATACCCGGTGAAGGCTGACGTTTTACGAACTTGTTCATTGAACCACTAAGCTCTTTATCTTCTTCTTTCTCTTTTGCTTTTCTTTTGCGGTATTGATAGCCGCTTTCTTTCTGTCGCTGCATCGTAGATAATGAATTTCAATTGAAATGAATAAAATACGGAACGATTAAAAACAATAGAACCGTCTACACCGACTTCAGCGGTAAGAATAAATGTACACGCTTTGGAATAATCATGCTTGAAAAATTGACTTGATTGCATTTTTGGTGACATCACAAAAATCAAAATGGCGTGAAAAAAAGTCAGCGTAATCATTTTGGGCAGCGAAAACAGTAACTAAACACACACAGAAAGAGGGAGACAGAGATTTAAAGTTATGTTTATTGAAGTTTTAACAATAACACCGATCGTCTAGAGATTTCTGAGAAATCAATTTTATTCGACAGTCTGCAGACTGTTTATGTTTATACAACAAAACAACAGTGAATTTTCGAATCATTCGTTCGGCGACTACGCTGGAAAAGTGTGTTAAATATAATTGATTTCTGAATTGTTCGTGGACTGATGATGCTATTTTTTGAGTAGAATTTGTCTCTCCACTCGCATCGCAAGCGAATTTTTCTTCCTACAAATTTTTCGTTCGCTGCGCTCGCGAAATTTTCGCCCCTCTTGAACTGTCGCCCTTGGCATTTGCCTCATTTGCCCCCTACTTGCACGCCACCGGCGAGAAAAGTGCAAAAAACGTCTTTTCCGCTCAATTTTTCTGTCACTTTTGCTCGGAACTTAATTTGTCTCTTTTTTGCTCTAAGTTTTTTTCCGTTTCAGTTATAGACAAAGATTTTATAAGTTGTTCTTCTGCTCTATGGGTGTCATATGACATATGTCCGAGCAATGTCCTATGAATAACATTTAATCGAATTATTTGATTCGGGGTCTAAATGACAAGAAGAAAAAAACATCCTCACACGTCTTTTGCATATAATAATATCCATGGCACAAATTAATTCATCACGTGTTATAAAAACTCGATTGAGACTTTTGCTTAAAATTAAAATCGAAATATTCAGTAGCAAAAAAGTCCATTTAACTTTTCATGTGAAGAACAAATAAAATAACTTATTTTAAATAATTAGCTTGAATTTCTAGTTTTGATCATTCAACAATTATATAATAATTGGGTTTTTCCAATGTCAAAATACATGTTATACCGCTTCTCGAATCATAGTCCGCTAGTATAAGTGCGTTCAGTATTATGCGCTGTACATTTTTCATTGATTTCAAATTTCGCGTGAACAAATTTTGGTTTTGTTACATTCAATTTTGCGAATGGATGCGTTCAATATTATGTGACTTGGCGTTACTGTGCCCGTCGATACAATGCTAGCATTTGTTGTTCTGAATATTCTCTGTTGGGAATTCCAACTTGGAATCAAAAACTTGTTTGACATCCCCATCAAGCTTTTTTTTTTATTAAAAGGTGTTATTTATATACCAATGGCTTCTGATATGTTGATACATCAAATTTTTTCGACTATAAATATCCAAGAAGTTTGTGAATTCCTTCATTTCAGTTAAAAAAATCAAAATAAACAGATTGGATTCCAGCCAGAAGTTCACTACTAGTTCGAAATGGATTTAAAGCTTATTTTCGCCATCATTGGAATTGTGTTATCAATGGTTTCGATGGGTTGTTCACAAGCGTTTTGCAGTCAACAAATTGTCTGTGGCACCGATGGAAAAACATACAGAACACCATGCGCTTTGAATGATGCAGCAAAGAGAAAACCAGGCCTGAAAGTGAAACATCAAGGACCATGTTGAACACAAGCTTAAATTCAAGAAATTATATACGTCATTCCAACAAATTAGACGGAAAAAAATCTCACAAAATGTTTGAAATAACAAAAATTAAAGTTTTTGAATTTTTTTTTATTCTCACGGAGAATGTAGGGCCATTTTTATTCGTAACAGTTGTATTTAAATTCAAAATATTGATATAATAAAGATTTGAATATTCTATGATATCATTGAAATGTTTTTGTTCGGATTTCGTCTATTTGTCATTTGAAAATCGATGCTTTGTTAAAGTGAATTAAAATATTTGTTTAATTACGAATGGCTAGACGTCTTTCATGTTTGTCAATGTCACCTTTTAAATCTGCGTCGCATTCTTATCACAAAATAACCATCCATTTACGATCACAATGAAAAATTAAAATATTTGAACAGTTTGTGATAAGAATGAAATAACGTCAAGAAATTTTAGCTTTAAATAGAGAGGGAATTTCATGAATTTCATCAGTTCAGTCAAAGTAATCAAAGTGAACAGTTTGGCGCCTTGACAAAAATTGATAACAATTCAAAATGAATTTTCAAATTATTTTCACCATCATTGGACTTATTTTATCCATGGTTTCGATGGGTTATTCACAAACGTCATGCATTCAAATAATTGTCTGTGGCAGCGATGGAATCACTTATGGAAGTCCATGTGCTTTGGAGAAAGCAGCAGAATCAAAACCAGGCTTGGTAAAGGTTCACGATGGAGAATGTGGTAAACAGTGAAGAATCCGGACTTTGGTACAGATACGTTAAAAATGAGCTACCAATACGCCACCGGTGCTGGGGTTCATCGAATGTATTAAATACAATAAAATTTCTTTAAACTCGAAATTAAACAGATTTTTGTCAGCTATAAAAAATGTTTTCATAATAAAGACCATAACTTTCAATTAATTATCTGTGTTTATCTATGTTCAAAATGTAAATACAACTTAAACAAATATATTTATCAATGCTAATAAATATTCGCAAAGACTGTCACATTTTTGGCATATAAAATGCCTTAATCAGCAAATAAACACCGTATCTAGCGTTGTGTGGACTACACATTCTTCTTATTTATTCAAACGATTTGTTGGCAACAATTTTCGTTTATTGTCTTTGCACGGAATTTCATTTAAATTGAAAATAAAAGAATGGAGAAAAAGAAAGAGAAAGGAAGGAAAGACAGAAAAGAATTCGAAGAAAAAAGACGGACGGCAGCAAATTTATAAACTATTTGCACAGCTTTTGGATAATCAAATAGTAAATGTATAAAATTCGGCGCAAAATCTTTCTATAAAATCCGTAAATTAATAATAATAATAATAATAATAATAATAATAATAATAATAAGTAACTTCATACCGCTTTCGAGCGCTCAATCATTGAGTTAATCAGCATAGTTGTGTTTTTTAAACTCAAATTTTATTTTCTCAAACATCATCGAATTGTCTTTGAAAGTTTTAATTCGATTCTGCGTTATCGTGGGCATTGCTTTGGCAATGCCAGAAAATCGTATCAAACCGGATGTCCTACCACCAAATGACATCAAAGCATCAACTCAAATAAATGATACATCTGGTGACGGAGCGTCGAGATCAATTTTTGATATTCCAATTGACATAAATCGTCCATTTAATCCAAATCCCTCAATTGGAATTGTCGAACTAGTCATCATTTCAGATACCATAACATCCAATCCAGAGAAAAGTCCAGTCAAAACTGATTTACCAATTGGAATATATCCACCTTTAAATCCGAATACGCATCCAACCCTTGTTGTTGAGGATGCAATTGTAGAGGCTGATGATAAAAATTAATCCAGTATCGCATACAGCAGGCAAAGCAGACGGATATACCAGACAAATTATTCAAGTTGCAAGTTGAGTACCATTTTTACGGTGCGACAAAAAATCTAGCAAATTCAATTTTTTTCTAAACGATTAATAAAATTATAATTGAAAGCAAGGTAAACAATAGGAATAATGACTGAGCTGTTTTTTTTTTCATTAATTTTCCATTCATTTATTGAACATTTGAAAATTTTGCAATAATAAGAAGATTTGCCCATTCTCATTTGATTTAATTTTCAATAAAAAGAACGATTCCGAGTCGAGAATTGTTTTGTAAGCACAATTTTAATGTTGGATATTAATTTGCTGCGTGAGAAACTAGAATGCAACCATAAAACAGAATGCCATCAAAACCACATCCGACCACCATAAACGTGGTTTAAATTGTCTCTGTGATAAAAAGGAACATTGTCACATAATGATAACAATAATAATCAACCGGCGTGACATTGACACGATTAAAACTACGAGAAAAAAAATGCATGCCTTGTGGCTGATAATGCGCATTTATGGTTTGGGTGTTCTATCCGTACAATTGTTATGGGTTGCAGTTTATTGCGAGAGAAATTGTGTTATTTATCGATTGAAAAACCACAATGACAAACCGATAGCGAAATGTATGACTTTCTATCGATGACCTTGTATTTCTTGCCTTCTTTCCGTGTCGTAGCGCACTTTTCATTGCCACCACAAATCCGATTAGAATATAAAGACCATTTTTATTACATGTTTAGAATTGTGCGTGTGAGAACCGTTCTATTTAATCGTTCTAATCTGTTGTTTTTTTCTTTCTTTCCAGGGCCGATAAATTGGAATATGTAATGTATCGAATGGGATTGTTGGCGACGTTGCGGTCGCGTTTGAAAAATGGTCAAACGATTGGAGTGATGATAACAGCGTCACACAATCCAGAGCCAGACAATGGTGTGAAATTGGTCGATCCAAAAGGTGAAATGCTCGAACGAAGCTGGGAACAGCTGGCAACCGATTTGGCCAATGTCAGCGATATGGATTTGCAAGGTGAAGTGGAGAAAATCATTCAAACGCACAACATTGACATGGGCTCGGCGTCGAGTGTATTTGTCGGTATGGACAATCGATACCATAGCCCCGGTTTGCTGAAAGCCGTTTCCGATGGAGTTGTTGCACTGAAAGGAAATGTCAAGTCATTTGGAATTGTTACCACACCAATGTTGCACTACATGGTCGTCTGTGCCAATACAAACGGCGACTATGGCACACCAACCGAAGAAGGTTACTACCAGAAATTGATTACGGCATTCCGAGCATTGCGCGGTTCCAATGTTGAACGTGGCAGCTATAAAAACAAACTGCTATTCGATGGCTCGAATGGCGTCGGCGCACGCAAAATGATTCAATTCCTCAAACGGATGAACGGTGAACTCAATGTCGATGTTTACAATCAAGGCGAAGGGAAAATCAATGAAAACGTTAGTTTTGTCGTTCCAATTTCGACATTTTTCTGTTTAGGTTTTTTTTCTTTCTAAATTCTTCATTTCTTTTCAAGAGAGAAACTGAATTTTTCCAAAGAAATTTTTTCTTTCATACTCTTCATCACCAAAATCATCTTTTTATCAGAAAATTTTTCAATTTTTGTTTACAGTGCGGTGCCGACTATGTGAAAATCAACCAAACTGTGCCCATTGGAACGCCAGCCACCGAACCATACACGCGTTGTTGTTCAATTGACGGTGATGCTGATCGTATCGTTTACTTTTTTACCGATGAAAACAATCAATTTTACCTTTTGGACGGCGATCGCATCGCCACTCTGTATGCTGGGTAAGCTGAAGCTGTTAATTGAAAAATTTGTCTGTTTTTAATTAAAATTCAAAGAGAAAATTTGATAAATGATAATTGTTCTTCATTATCTCATTCCATTAGCTATCTGATGGATCTTGTTACCAAGTGCGGAATTGATTTGAAGTTGGGCATTGTGCAGACGGCTTATGCCAATGGCGGTTCAACCGATTATATCGAAAAAGAATTGGTACGATTTTTAAGACCTTTAAAATCAAGACCTGGATTAAAATTGCTTCTTTCAATTGTGATAAATCCAGAGAGTCTGTGTCAGAGACAATTTTTTTGCCTTAAAAATGAAGACATCAGCATCAATAACGCACTAACGTTCGATTTTCCACTTGCAGAAAGTTCCAGTAGCATGTGTGCCGACCGGTGTGAAGCATTTGCATCACAAAGCGCTCGAATACGATATTGGAGTGTATTTCGAGGCAAATGGCCACGGAACCATCGTCTTCAGTGATAATGCTAAGCAATCAATTCGGGCAGTGGCCGACAATTCAGAGTGAGTTTCTTTGTTTTTGGGTCTCGTTTTACCCTTTAGTTACTTTTGAACTTTGATCATTTTTCAGTGCAACAGAGTAGCACTCTTACGCGTCAATTTGAACGTTGAGTAGAAAATTTATTAAACTACCAATAGCTAAAACGAGATTCAATTTACTGAAACCGACACAAGCCTAATTTATCGAAACTAACTCAACCATTTATTTTCCATCAGATTGAACGAGGAGCAAGTTGAAGCCGCCAAAAAATTGTTGAGCACAATAGAGGTAGTGAACGAAACGGTGGGTGATGCAATTTCCGACATGTTTTTGGTGGAAATCATTCTACAATCAAATGGATGGAATGTAAAAGAATGGTACAAGACATATGTCGACCTGCCGAATGTGCAGAAGAAAATCAATGTGACGGATCGAAATGTGATCACAACTACTGATGCCGAACGTAAGGTCGTGACACCGGAACAATTACAAGATGGAATCGATGAACTGGTCGCTAAATATCCACGCGGAAGATCGTTTGTGAGGCCATCAGGCACCGAAGATATTGTTCGAGTCTATGCGGAAGCTGCTTCCAAGGAGGTTTGTACCTTGATTTCAAAGTAATCAAAGAAAAAATTGGTTTTCGAAACTATTTGAATTTTTTTTTGAATCTAAAAAATCGAAATTTGATGAAAATTAAAAAAAAAATCTCGAAATTGGTAGATAAAAAGCAATCGCATTCACTAAAAAAATGATTCCAAATTGCATCCGCATTTTTTCTCCGTGAATTTATTTATTACGAAAATTCTTTTTTTCTGGGACAATTTTGCTTCATTTATCAAATATTTTGGCTTTGTTCATTTTCAGGATGTCGACCATTTGGCTGGCGAAGTGTCACAGTTGGTATATCGATTAGCCGGTGGCATTGGACCGGAACCACAATTAGTAAACAACACTGCCAATGGATTGGCCAATTGAATAATTGCTGTCAACGCTTTTAACCCACTCACAAATTGAACCTTTTATAAAATAATTGCTTCGCTTGTAATTGTTAGACACATGAACGTTTTCCATTGTTCAACCTTTTTATACTTGAACTATAAATTCATTTAAATATATATTCTCTTAACCATATTTCATAAAGAAAAGCAATGTATACCGAGGCTCATTTGCCTTTGGATTTTACGGTTTCGTTTAAATTTTTTCTGTTACAATTTAAACCCCCTTGAAAAACCAACTGAGAAACACAAATAAATAGACATTGGATTTAAATGGAAATCATAATTCAGTTCTTTATTCAACGTTATTATTACAAATTTTTTTGACTACAAAAAGATGAAATGAAGATCCGAGCAAATGTTTTTTTTTGGCTTCTTCCATAAAATTTTCTTTGGTTACACCTTAGTTCTCTGAACCACATATTCTATTTTATTCCTGAGTTGGGCTAGTTTTCACATTACCAGGTGTAGGGGTGGTGGTATTTTTACATTCTCCCTCGTAGGCAACATATAAGCTTGCATCTTTGCCTTCGATTGCCTTGCAATACAAAGTACACTCATTGGAGTATGTATTATGATCAGAACCACAAACCGGCTTCAAGATCTTCGTACACATGCAACCTTACATCACAAGATCCATTGCGGACTTTAACCACTTTGTACGGGCCGTCGTTGGAACAATTTAATTCGCACTCATTTCCGTAAGTTTTGCCATTGTTTCCGCAAACTAGATTTCCAATTGGAGGACAAACACATGAGCCGTCTTCTTTATCTTGTGAAAGCACTAATGTGGTCGCTACTAAGAACGACCCAAATATGGTGATCAACTTGATAGAACTCATTTTATTCAGTAATTGAACAAATTTTACCTGTTGTAACCTTGGGAGTAAAAGTTGTGTCGCATATGTTGAAACGCTTTTTACTGTTCTGAAGACGGCCTAACCTCTAACATTTGAAAACCATTTTTTATAGGCAACGAGTTTGACGTATGTAGTACTGCCGTCATAACAACAATATTTTGAACATTTGTTTAAATATAAAATGCAACAAAAATAGAAGATAAATTGATGCAAACAGACAATTTAAAGTACACACTCATTCAAAATGGATTATTTTTATTCATTTTTCCAAGGTCATTCATCATATTAGGCGTAATATGGATTTCGGAATAATTTGGCGTTTTTAACTGGCAATGGAATTGTTCAACTTTCCAAAATAGATAAAAATGATTCACACCTCGATAATAAAAGTTTAAAAAAAAGCATATGTTTTCTCTATGCTGAATTGATAGAGCTATTGAATGAAGCATAATCTATCAATCAAAAAATCAAATCAGATTTTTATATTTTTCTTGGCTTCATTTCCAAATGCAAACTTAAAGGCTCTTTCAGATTCAATGGGATTTGTGTGTTTTCATTGGGCTCAAGCGAGAAATTTAGCAGCAAATAATACAGCATTACTTTGATTTCCATTAGAGCAAAACGAGAGGCTAAAAAAAGTAAAAATTAACAGAATTGCATGAAATAATTCAATTGATTGCCTCATAATAATAGGAAATGTGATACATACCAATACAACTACACACCGTGTTAAGGAAAAGTATAGGAATTGGTCCCGAAAACGTTTTCCGCAAAATTAGATCTTAGATCATCATAAAAACGCATGAAATGCGAAGAAAACACATTTTTGAGACAATTTTTCGTTCGTATGCCGTCGTTGTCGTAGTTGGTGTGTGAGAACACGATAACTCAAAAAGTTATTGAGATTTTACGATTAATTATTATGGCAATGTAACTCGAATGTATTTTCACCCCATACACGTGATTGCATTGGTCGTTTTAAGTTATGACATAATCAACAGTAAATCTGTAGGGACGTGGTCATTCATTAATATAATTCAAATATTACATTATTTTCATCGAAACATGACTCATCAGTGCATGAAGAAAGATGCAAATACCCAAGCGCGACTCCACACTTAGCTTCTAAATGTGACACCGTAGTAAGTGTGGGCATACGTTTTGCGAATAAGCGACAAAGTGAATGGAAACAAGTGCGCGTGTATTAGTCGCCACATTGAGAAGCATCGCATCAGGCTACTCACTACCACACGCGCACTTGTTTCCATTCTCTTTGTCGCTTATTCGCAAAACGTATGCCCACTAGGGTGTTTTCGGCATCGTTTAATCAAAAAATGGTTTGCCTCATTCGATAGATCTCAGAATTCTGAGTCGATTGATAATATTTTTGTCGCAGATGGACTTGTGATGACACTTCCCGAAGCTGAAAACAAAAACAGTTTTATTCTGAATTTCCATAGTAACCTGTGACAACCAGATTTGATTTGAAATTTGAAAGCAAAAATTTGACAAGAAATCATAAAACTGAATCTAGTTGTCACACGTTACTATAGAAATTCAGAATAAAACTGTTTTTGTTTTTAGTTTCGGGAAGTGTTACCACAAGTCCATCCGCAACAAAAATGTTATCAATCGACTCAGAATCCTGAGATCTATCGAATGAGACTTACCATTTTTCGATTGAACGATGCCGAAAACACCCTAATGCCCACACTTACTACGGTGTCACATTTAGAAGCTAAGTGTGGAGTCGCGCTTGGGTAAAGTGTAAACAAAAAATAAATAAATCAAATAATGCTGATGCAAATCATTTTTGTAGTTTATGGGTTTTCAACTTTTCAATAGAAATGCGAAAACATACAATGAATTCTTCTTCAATTATATTCAAACGTCTTTTGCTGCAAACTTTGATGTTTTTTTAAATGGTTAATTGTATGTTTATTTTGTAGAGCTCTTTTTTAAATTCGTGAGGTTACAATATTGGAGATATAAAAATTCACTGGTTATAAATGACATGTTATTTTGTTTGTATCGATTCCCTGTAGCAGAATTCAGCAATGAAAAAAAAAACAGAAGTTTTCATATTTTTCGCGGCTTCAATTCCAAATGTACACCTTTTTCGGTAACCATGGCTATAGTTCTTTTCATTTTTAATGGAATTTGTGTGTTTTTGTTGGGCTCAAGCGAGAAATTCAGCAGCAAATAATACAGCATTACTTTGATTTCCATTAGAGCAAAACGAGAGGCTAAAAAAAGTAATAATAAACAGAATTGCATGAAATAATTCAATTGATTGCTTCATAATAATAGGAAATGTGAAACATACCAATGCAACTGCGCGGACCGATTCCGAATGGAGCATAAGATCCTGGCAATATGTTGTGTTTATTTGCATCGGAGAAGCGTGTTGGATCAAATATGTCGGGATTTGGAAAGTATTTGGGATCTCTTTGGATCGCATAAATCGGATATATGATGGATGATCCCTTTTCAATCATAAACTTCTTTTCGCCGTCATCATAAACGTAATCCTTAGTACACATGCGCTCTGTTTCCAATACAATTGGCCATTTCCGAAGCGTTTCCGAAACGACTTGATCCAAAAATTTCATCTTTTGAATCAAATCGTACGTAATTCGTTTCCCATCTAGTCCATCATTCACTGCGACAATTTCTTCGTACAATTTCTGTTGAATGTCTGGATTGACGATCAGTTCATAGACAACAAAAGTGATTGCCCACGATGAAACCTCCATTCCGGCCAAGAAGAAAATAAAACACTGAGCGATTAGTTCATTTTCACTCCATTTGCGAGTCACTTTCATTTTTCCCAACTCTGACTCTTCGACGACTGCAAACTCATCATGTGCTACGTTCTCATCTTTACTGTCGTCTGTTTGATGCGTCAGACTACCTTCACGAAGCTGCATCAAAATGTTTATCATATCCGGTCGAACGATATTTTTCTCGCGTCGTTTCGTCATCGTATCCAAAATCGATGATTTGAACCAATTCGTAATTGTTTCATCAACTATCTTTGGTTTGAAAACACGCGTGATTTTCGCAATTGAAACCTTTGCGATTGATTTAACAACATCCCACCAACCGCGGTATGTCAAGAGTGAAATTCCATTTTTATAAAAATCATTGTCTGGATTTGAAAATGAGTTGATTTTAAGTCCAAATGCACAGGTAGCAATGACGTCATTTGTATAACGAGTTGCGAATTCTTTCATTTCGGCGTTAATTCTCTCTCCACTTTTGACTTTGCTCAAGAAATGCTTGACAACGTCCTCGGCACATTCCGATGTCAAATCGAACATCTGACGCATTTTGCTCCCGGTGAATGCTGGACTCAATGTTGCTCGCATTTGACGCCATTTTTCACCATG